ATCCAATAAAAGGAAAACTTTGTTTACAAATGGAAAATTCGTGGGCCGACAAGACCTTGGAAATAATCAATCGTTGTGAACTATGAACCAGAGTGAGCTAAAAATAATGCTTCTGCAATAGACTTTGCGTTCTAAATAAATATAATTTTCTTGAAAAAATATCAAATCCCATGACATTAAATTTTACAATAAAATGTAATGAAACAAAAATAAAATAAAAAGATTTATTTTTTACACAACACACAAGCAATTTAATTACATATACTTAACATCAGAACATATGCAATTTGCCGTATGCCCTAGTTCTCAGTTCGAAGCATTTTGTATAACTGCAAGTGTATTTTGGTACGTTATAATATAAACTGACTTAAATAATGAATTTCGTTTTTATTTCTTTTGAATGAAAGCTGCTCTTTAATTTTATTCTTCTTTTTATGACCAATTACAATGTCATCCAAAATAATTTTTAGTAAATGTCTTCAACTTCAATTGAAACAACATCTAGTTCAAGTTAGGACATGATTTATTCTTCATCTTTCCTAATTTTATTTAATTAAAAAATATATTATTATTATTATTATTATCATTATTATTACAATTATTATTATTTATTATTTTAATATAAATAATATAAATTATATATATATATATAATAAAAATATAATAATAGTAGTAATAATAATAATAATAATTATTATTATTATTATTTTTACTATTATTATTATTATTATTATTATTATTATTATTATTATTATTATTATTATTATTATTATTATTATTATTATTATTATTATTATTATTATTATTATTATTATTTCCTAATGAGACATTTAAAGAGATCAGTAGGAAAAATTTACATTATCGCCGCAGTGGCTTCGTTACTTTAAGAATTACTTTTTTGTCCTATTTAATGCAATATTATTCTAATCTGTAATTCCATATTTTTTCCTGTTTCATTTTTCATTACTTCTTCTCATGTAAACTCTGTCTGTCTGTCTGTCTGTCTCTCTCTCTCTCACGTCTAACATATTGTTGTTGTTGTTTGGGGTTTTCCTTGATTTCTAATTTTTTCATCCATGTACGAACACTCGACCCTAGGAAATCCACTGGCCATTCAAAAAGGCAGAAGGAGGTGAGAAAATGCCATAAAACAAAATAAAAATGTAGTCTTCAGGTATAAATTTAATTAATTAATTAAATTTCCAAATGAAGTCTGTAAAGTATTAGTGACTGAAACTACACGAACTGTTGCTGTTAGATACTGACACCCATACAGGTGCCTTTTACACTCTGCAACAGACACACTTTCAAGAGTATTAACAGCACCCTTGATTAAATGTAGCAATAACATTGTTTTAAGTTTTGATTGTAATTCTCAAAATAATTATAATAATGTTTGAAAATGACCGGAAAATCTGGCATTGATGAGTTATGACTGCAAACAGAAATTTTTTGACAATCAAAATCAGGTGCAGCGTCTGTTACGAAACCAGTGCGAGGTTGCAAAGGACAAAAGCTCAACTTTGGACACGAAAATGAGGATGCAATATATATACAAATGATCGTTTCCTGATATTTCGATATTCCTATTTATCCCATTTACAAATTATATTTATACTATTAATCCGTGCAAAAATATGTTAACGAAAACAAAACTCTTCATGGTCGTTGATAACAGTTTTTTGACAAAATACACAATCTGTGTCATTGTTTTATACAAGATAGATTTGTAAAAATTCGCTGTCCTAAAATTATTACAAATTTCGGAACTTGTTTGTTTATAAATATAGTAATGCAACTGTTATTCCATTGGCATATAATGGTAAAACAATTCTTGCCATTTGACGTTTTTTGCTGTAAAAATATATAATAAAAAGAAAATCAACGTTTTTTTAGTAGATATATAGAGGATATTTACATCTATTTTGCGTAAAAAAATAAACTAAATACTTAAGAAGTGGAAACATTGTATTAGCGAGTGACGTATGGTGTTCGCTTGTTACATAAGGGCATCCAGGTGAATACGTGACAATGAAAGTCAAGTCCGTGCTGCTCTTTTCTTACGAATTAATGAACTGAATCCATTATACTAATCTATTATTTCTATATTATGTCAACATGTTTTCGTCAGTGTTTTTCCAAATGTTCAGTTAGAGGTTAGTTGTTCTGTATAAATATGAAGTCTTCCGATTAGAAAACAAATTCCTAATATCAACCTCAAGAGACCGGTTATTTCATGGTGGGGTACTAGGGAATTAATCGAGCCGATATTTGTTAATTTTGATCGTTTACCTCAAATAATTTTTTCTTTAACTAATATAAATGACATCATTAATTCTCTTTTTCTAAAACTCAGAGCAAGAATTTTTCTTTTTTTATTTTTAATCCCATGTCCCCACATCCATCTCTAACACCACACCCCATTAAATTTAATGGTCGTTTCCTAACTCTGTTTCTAATCTCAATCGCACAAGTGTGCGACAAAGACGAACATATTTAACAAGTACCGATATAACACAGACGCTAAAGCAGTAACATTTTAAATATCAGTCCCAGACGAATTTCACAGATGACTTCAAAAGTGGAATGGCCTTTTTAACGTGAAATATATGACATTTTAAAACTATTCCTTAAACAAAATTATTGCAAGAAAGCAATTTCACGTGAGCAAAGCAGTTTTATTACCAGAAGTAAACGTTTAGCTAACGTATATTATTTTTATGCTAGGCCAAGAATTACTGGATTTTCTAAGGACATAATCTTGATAGTTCACTCGATTGAAATAATATAATATTTTCTAACTGTCCATCAAACATACGTTGATAATATTATGACCAAAAATATATGAATTTGTTCTTAGATGATTGAGTAGTGGAATGTTAAGTATGGCACTTCCCGTCAATGAAGTACCTAGTTTGAATAAACATATAGGTTTTTTTGTCTTTTTTTCCCTTTTGAATTAGGAAAGTGAACTGTATTAATTTATAATTTCTGTGCCAACATTAACAAAATGGGGAGCATAATTGGTAAACCGCTGACGGTTTTCCTAAAAATCCATTATAGTATTAACACATCCTATCGCTTATATGTAAGGGGGCTTGCAGACAAACGATAGGGTGCGTAAATACTATAACGATTTTAAGACGAACGAAAAGCATCAATGATATAAAATTGTTCAAACCTTTTATCCATGATATTATAATTTCAATATAGGTATATATGTATGTGTCTATGTATATGTGTATTCATGCATGCATGTATGTACGAACTATGACGAGGTCATGCGTTATTGAAGACGAATGTACCTGTTGCATTCAAGTGTGTGCATATAAAAGGTTCGTTTGTCATTGAATTGACGCTTGAGGTTCATGTTAGCATGCAAAACTATTCAATGGCTCAATTCGTGTTCACATTCATTGAATATCCTAAGAGAAAATTACATTCACGTATGAAATATAATATGAAACATGTTACGTAATTTAACAATGTGCACATACCTAAAACCTGATGATAGAAGTTTACGTTTAAATTTCTTGCCTTCACCGAGTCTCTTTTTTTCCAATGCAATTCTGTAACAAACACATTCTTGTGGGTCTTTAATTCAAGGTAAGTGATTGAACATATTATGGTGACTGTCAAGTCTGAGTTTATCCAAACAATCATCATGAATAAAAGTTTATGAAAACAAAACTGCTTAATACCAGGTATACGGTGTCGAGTCACTTTGGATTTGTTAATCGATGATAGACACGTATACAATAGGTGCACGGAATCAATGTTGTTTGAACATATTCTTTGATAGGTTAAAATATGTTTGTCAATCACTTTTCTTGCTGGTCAAACGATTTGTGTTTACAATCCCCAATACGCATTCATAACATTGCATTGTATCGAAAAGTTACTATGTCGGAAAAACAATAACTCATCTGTTTATATGCTAGACGTCATTTATGAAAGTCATTATGCTGAAAAAAAAAAACGCTTACTCGTGTCTATTTATAGGGTAAAAATATATTTCACGTTCCGAACAATAAGAACAGAAAACAAATTGATAGTTTCATTATCATAACTGAACCACTTAACACATGCATCATGGCTGAGGCAGTGATTGGTGACTCAAAGAAAAGCGGGATAGATCTCCACGTTCTTTGGAATGAACTTTTGAATACTGTGGAGCTTTCTGGGCAGGCGAATGAAGTGCATTATTTCTGTCACTGCACAAGGAAGAAATGTAAAACCTCGATTGTCGAGAGCAATGGGCTAATCGGCAACATCACTAGCGTGCCAGTCTTGGCACCCTTATCTGGTAAATCTAATGTGCAGGGTGTTTGGTTATCCCCATCATTGAAAACTCTGCTCAAAAAGTCCCTATACGTAACAAAAATGATTCTAATGGAAGTACATAATATGCTGCCAATAATGTTGTTTCTTCGAAAAGTTGAAGAGGTGGGTGGAGTTCCTGAAGATGGGCATGTTAGGGAGCAAACCCAGTCGTCGTCAGTCTTAAGCTTAAGCGACTTTGATAACTATAACTTTTAAGGCAAAGTTCGTAAAATATGTACTATAGAACGTCAAATGAAGGATAAAATTCCAGAGCCACTTAATAGGAATACTTTCTGAAAGAAACGGATGTACTTGGGCACACGAAAACAGGAATGCTGAGGATAAAATGTTCGTGCATCAATACATTTCCAAAGACGGATGTCATGATGTACTTGCATTGATGACAACCTCGGTAGAACTCCAATTATTTTTTGAATGGAGTTATCACTATAGTAAAAATCATATATGAGCACCTTGTTTTATTAAGATCTCGGAAAAAAAGTTTAAAATGGTGCACAGAAAATTTGAAGAAACTCGACCCCAGTTCGAACCCATTTCTGCAATTTAAGGACAAACATGTTTACAATTACTTACCGAACTACAATTTCTCTAAACATATATACTCTGAACTTCTGGTCTTTAGAGATATTTATTGCCTTGAACTACTTAAGAAACCCGCTTCGGTGGCCTAGTGGTTAAAACGTCCACCTAGGATGCGGGAGGTCGTGGATTCGATTCCCGGTCGAGTCATACCATAGACTTACAAAAATGGTACTAACAGCTGCCTCGCTTAACGCTCAGCATTAAGAGGTTAGTGTTAGGACTGGTTGGCTTGGTGTCAGGATAATGTGACTGGGTGGGACATCATGCTACATGTCTGCGGCATGATGCCCCAGTGCTAGACATCACTATAAACTGCCACACTGCAGACATCGTAGCGATATGACTGAAAAATTGTTAAGTCTACGTTAAAAATCATAATCACATCACATCACATCACTTAAGAAACCAAAGTGGACCCTGGTCGGGAAAGCAAACAAAGCGGGAAAAGAGCCAGTCATTGGTGTCTTTAAGTCTTCCAAGAATGCATGATCATTTCAGCGCCATGTTGGTTGGGCCAAATTATAAGCAATTGTTCGTACAGCATCAGAGAATTATTCTGAAGATTCAAAACAGTTTTCGGATATTTTTTTTACGGAAATCTTTCTATGTCTCTGTCTGTTTGTGATTATCATCGCAAAAATAGGTCCAACAGTAGAAAGATCTCACCATACAATCTTACACAAGAACAAATTAGAGCAAAGGGATGCCACTCTATATGGTAACATCAGTGTCATGTGTCACTTGATTCCCCAATTTCTATTTATTTATTTGTTTATTTATTTATTTATTTATTTATCACCTTTTGGAAAATATGTCAGCAGCAAAAACCTCGGAATTTTAAAGTAAAATATTTTATGCTGAATTACATTTAAATTACCTTATATAAATTCGAGGAATTTTGGGAAAGATTCAAGGAATTTTGGGAAAGATTCAAGGAGTTTTTCTTGTAATTCAATGAATTTCTAAGCAAAAAACAAATTTTTAAGGAATTCAAAAAGTTTCAAAGTCAAACTATTAAATTAAAAGATTTTGCACGACCGTGCAAACAATATAAGTACAGTAAAAGTCAACTGCAAGGTTAAGAAATTGAGTGAATTTGCTGTGGACAACTTTAGTTTGTTACAAATTCCTTTGAAAATAAGGTTTCTCAGATGCAGCATATTTTATTGTTAGAATATTATATTCTGCATTGATCAAATTTAAATAATCCAATAGAATGTATGGAGAGTTACCTGAGGGTGGTTTATTTCCATGGTATATTAATTTAATGTGGTGAGTTCTGTTCCCTCCACGATGCAGGAGCAAAGTTCTTACAACGAGAAAACCGCTATACCTTGAGCTCAATGGTCGTGAATAGCACCATAGCCAGGGTACTTATTGTTTCAAAGTTTCATTATATGTTTACAACCTGAAAATTCTTATCGTTAAGTGCTCCACTTTACGAATCAATATCTCCATCTGTAGAGGTACTTGAATTTGGAAACTATTCTTTTCATTTCCATATTATAAGATAGAAATGTTTCATTGTTCTAATATTTATTCTGTATTTTAGATAGCTTTACTTCTGTCACACATTATAAAGTTATTTGATTTATTAATATGCTCTTATGTTCGCCACTGTGCGTGTATATATATATTATATATATATATATATATATATATATATATATATATATATATATATATATATATATATATATATATATATATATATATATATATATATATTATATATATAAAAGAATTTTTAATTCATACTCTACGTAGTTTCGAAACCAGGTCCGCGAGTAAATGGCACCCATCGCCTTGCCTGCACACACCAGCCTATATCCTGTCACAACTAAGCACGCATCAACAAAAATGATGGCACTGAATCGGTGTTATATGAACCGTGTTCATATAGCAGACACATTCGCATGACGACCTAATGATTAATTCTCATATATATATATATATATATATATATATATATATATATATATATATATATATATATATATATATATATATATATATATATATATATATATATACGTTAACACAGGATAAATGTCATCGTGTGATGCAAGAAAACATGATATTTAGACAAGTGGCGAAGTTGAATGTTTTTGGGACCCTCTTTCAACAGGTTAGAAGTTTTTCATTCATGAATGAAATGACTAAGATTTTGTGCATTTTGTATATATCCTTAATGATTTTTCGTTTTAAAATTGGAAGAGAGTTACAACACAAACGGAAGTGTGTACGAATACTATAGCGAATTTCTTTTCCGTGTGATGTTAGCGGTCCTGTCTCCCTAAACACAGTAATGTACAGTAATGTACAGTAATGGGCTGTAATGGAAAGTAATGGACAGTAATGGGCAGTAATGGGCTGTAATGGAAAGTAATGGACAGTAATGAAGACCAAAATACTCTAATATAATAGACATTCCAGGAATGGAATAAATTAATGGAACTAGTTTTATAAGATTTATATGTAAACCTGTTCTTTGCTTATACTCGTACAGTACTCCTGTTACTTAATGTCCTCTGCTCCACCCTTCTTTCTCCCTTCTTTCTTATATGTTATAGTGTTTTCTTTCTTCATACAATCCTCTTTTCTACTTTTACCTTTGCCCCCTAATACAATAGTTCAAAATCTAGGTGACTGAAGCCTTTATACAGAGGACACGACTTATATAAAAAAAAAATATGCAAGGCTAGTTGACAAGCACAAAATGTCTGCTCCAATATATTTTGCATTTGGTAATCCTTCTTTCTCGTACGGATTTCCAGAATAAAATGGCCATAATGTTTTTAATGCAGACTATTTAATGAAACAAGAAATTAACTTTAAGGCAGATTATCAGTAATAAATACTAGTTCTGATACACCTTTTTTAGCAGTAAACTTTATACTTTAGCACCACCACCCACCGACAAGGAACATTTTGCTACAGAAGAAGTGCATACATTTATTATTAACATAAAAAGAATCTGTTACATGGTTGCTTTTTGTTCCATCACGATTGTGATTCAAAAATGTTTACATTCCAGACCACATGTATCACTATCTCTCTGCTGTTTATTCTTCTTTCATCCCTCTTGTTTGGATATATGTAGGTATGTAAACTGTCTTGACTTTTTCCAGACATCGTGCCTGTATGCTAATTAAATATGTTTGCAATGGAAAAAACTTGTAAGTTGAAAACCTTATCTTCAATCCTCTTGCTTTGTATACACACGTGTAATCTTCTTGGGAATGAAATACGTAGAACAAAACAAAATATGTATATGTTGGTACTTGTGAGCGGTATGTACTAATCTACTTTACCAATAATAACATAGAGTTACATAGCTATGGAACAAACGTATTTATCGTTTTATTTCTGTCACCATTTAAGAGACTTTATTTTCCATCAAAAATAGTTAACTGATTTCTAGTTTAGGACAAGTGGCTGAAACATTTCAATTGCATGTGACCAAACATAAATGTCGTTTAACGACATACTGTGAGAACGAGGAGTAACGGTCAATGAAAATTAATAGGCATGGACACTATTGTTTGTTACATACTTGAATTGATATACGAACAATAGTGCTTGTTACAGACTTTGCCTGATGTTTAAATAATGACTTTTCTTGTATATAATAGGACTCGAGCTGAAAAGAATGAAAAGGCTCGAACAGACAGACAGACAAACACAGAGACACATGCACACTGTAACTTTTCGGCAGCAGACAAAAATGCGATTTCTAATCATAGATAACCTCGGCCTCTTGCTCAGTGTAGTGTAATTATAATGCATAATAAAACAAACAAGAAAATTAATTATACAAAATCATAAAATTATGTTATACTCAACGTCCGATGTCCCTTTATCCACAAAGGTATCCCTTTCATAAAGTGATATTTAAGATAAATGGCAAATCAGATCATTTTAATTTGCAAAACAGGGCAGTGTTAAAATGATCAACACATTTCTGACAAAACTATATGGGCAAACACGTAACGTACACAGCATGATCGACTACTGAATAAATTTATTAATGCAAACGTACTGCATATAAAAGTAAGTGCTCCACAAACCCCATTCCTTTGAAGATTAAAGAGAGAAAATATAAATATATTAACATTTAGATAGTCCGCTTTGATTGGGCAACGACTTTACGTAACTAGATCATTGTTGGTACTTGAGCCCACATGTTTTGCCCTAAATAACTTGCAGGTCAGAGCGGGTGTCGAGCAAACAACTTGCCAGTGTTTGCGCAACGCTATGAAGTGCAGTTGAGGTGTAAATCTTTTGTAATGTCAATCAAATTAATTGCACATTCAAGCTGTTAAGTGCAGTACGTGTCGGTAATAATCATAACCATTCTTATCTGCACACTATATCACATAATTTTTGGCCTTATATAATGCCTTTGTTATTCTTATGGTAACGTATATATGCATTTCTCCTCCGATTACTCAGTAGCTATGTCTGGTAATAGTATTGCTATTCCAATTCAATTCAAGATAATAAATTTTAAAACTTATTTTAAAATGGGGTTTCAAAAGAGGAATAGAGGTGATATTTGTCGCACTAAATACAGCCTGATTATATCGGATAAATAATTATATAAATCCTTAGGCGTAAGAGTGTTTTCATTAGGCAGTGCTGATTTACGCCATATTGCATAATTTAACAAAATTAGAAGTGATGTATTTAATCCTGTGATGCATGAGAAGATCGGGGTATACTATCATGCAACAAGCTGCATCTCTTTTTCAAGTAAAACTTTCAGTTTCAACAAGGAGAATTTAATTGTCCTCTGTGTTTGCACGCATTTATACAACCCCTATGCTTTTTGTTTGAGAATATGTTTGTCCAATATTGGAGAAGAAACTGGTTCCAAACATTAAACGACCAACACTTATAAGTTTGAATTATATGAATTTAATACACGCATGGGCGCTTGCACATAGGAGCAAAGGAGGTGAAATTCCTCACTAGCCCCCTCCCCCTTCCCCGGTCCGGATTTCACCTCCGAATATGTTTTTGCCTAATCCGTAAAACTTAATAGCTGTCAACTAAATATTAGTGAGGAGATCGAAATCCAGATGGATCTTTATTTCAAGCGCAACTTTACAAAAGACGTTTCTAAGACGGTTTTTTTTTCTTCA